CCAGGGCTGTTAAACCGACCTTTTAAAAAAAACCTTAGGAAAGTAATAGTCTCCTATTTGTTTTTAAAAAATACCTAGATATTTCTTTGTTAAGGAGCAATATGAAGATTTTACCACTCTTCATAGGCCAGCAAGGCTGAATTGAAGGTGGTAAAATGCCTAAAAGGTGGCTCAGTGGTTAAGACACTGAGCTTGTGGATTAGAAAGTTTGGCAGTTTGAATCCTTAGTATAGATCTCTATGAGCAGTGGGTTCGACTAGATGACCTCCAAGGTCCCTTCCAACTCTGTTACTGTTTACTGCATCAGAATTTGCACACTATATTGCACACTATATTGCACACTTACCACAATCAGATTATAATTTACAGCAGATTTTTTTAAAAAATGCAGGCACTCTTCATAGGTTAAATCTCAGATGGTAAAATGCCTAAAAGGTGGCTCAGTGGTTAAGACACTGAGCTTGTGGATTAGAAAGTTTGGCAGTTTGAATCCTTAGTATAGATCTCTATGAGCAGTGGGTTCGACTAGATGACCTCCAAGGTCCCTTCCAACTCTGTTACTGTTTACTGCATCAGAATTTGCACACTATATTGCACACTATATTGCACACTTACCACAATCAGATTATAATTTACAGCAGATTTTTTTAAAAAATGCAGGCACTCTTCATAGGTTAAATCTCAGATGGTAAAATGCCTAAAAGCATCAGAACTGGCACACTACATTGCACACTTAACACAATCAGATTGTGATTTTTTTTGCAGTTTTTTTTTTTTAAAATATGCATATTTTTCATAGGCTACCGAGGCTAATTCGATGGTAAAACGCCTAAAGCAGCAGAATTGGCACACTAATATAGGTTGGGACCCCTATCTGACCTACATTTATGTTGGAGCAATAAAAATAGGTGCTATTTCATGAATTACTACAATAGATATTTTAAGGATTTGGCACTGGGGGTGCATGTTTGTTTTGAAACAAGTATATAGCATTTTTAGGAATAGAAGTGTATTAAGTGTAAACAAAGGCAGTTGGATTCAGTATGTATTTGCTCCCACAAAAGATTGACACAAAAATACTTATTTGTATTTTTAAAAAAAGTGAGATAGTTTTATTTGTGCTGATTTCTGTAAGTGACACAAACTCCCAAAGGATCTGCTTTATATTTCTAGCTTAAAGGCAAGTTTCTGAATGAGCTCACTTTGATAGAAAGTAACTGTGCTGTATTTGCCAACAAAAATGATGCAACTCCTAATGCATTTCTTTGTTGAACTTGTGCTTAATTTTTTAAACTTGCGCAAGCCAGTTCGCACCAGGCCTCAGATTTTGGAGGAAGTCTGTAATTTTTTGAAAAGCAGTTGGCAGGGTGGGATATTTTGTATCTTGTTCTGTCTCTTGCGTGACTTGCAGTCCCTGGTATGAAAAATGAAAGTTTGAAAAGCAGCTTGTATTGTAGGACTGATAGATTAGTCTCACATTGAAAGCCACAATGCCCTTTTTTTTGGGCAAGAAAGCCATGCCAATCTTGACACTTGTCAAACAGTGTGGTTGTAGATTGGCCTGATGCAAGAATTCTGCATGTGTTAACAGAGCCCCAGGTTACCTTGCTACCAATCCAGTTATTGAAGTTGTAACGTCGGAGGTGGAACTGCAATGCAAATAACCTAAGAACACTCCGCATACACAGGACAGATAATCCTTGGCTGAAAGCCATTTGAGGTTGCAAGAGCACTGAAAATGTCTTAACGATCATTTTTCACACAACCCTTGCAGCATTTTCAATGGTCACAAATTTGGACACTTGACAACTAGCATGTATTTATGATGCATGCAGTGTCCAATCGTGTAATCGATCCCCTTTTGTGAACTTCTGACAGTAAAGTCAACCCACTTAAACTGGGTTAAAGTTAACTTGACAGCTGCACTGATTCACTTAACAACTGCAAGAAAAACCGTAAAATGGGCTAAAATTCACTTAGTGGGCTCATCTGTAGTCATAAATTTGAGTACCACTTATAGTTCATAATTCGTTCCTGTATCTCATCATAGCACCTCCTCAGCATGTAATCCTCAGCATGAAAAAAGACAGATTTACCATTCATAAGTTATACATTACACACACAGGGCAATGATGAAGTTTTCCAATATTCTTATTGTACTGCAGTGGATGGGTTTGCTCTAGGCCAGGATTTAAATCCACAACTAGGCAATCCTAAGTGAAATATCTGGTCTTTGACCATCCACCAATAAGGGGACAACAACAGTTAAGCCCAAAATTGAATGTTACTGAGACATTTGTTAAGTGAGTTTTGGCCCATTTTGCAACCTTTCTTGTCCAATTTGTTAAGTGAGACATTGCAGTTAAGTTAGTCAGATGGTTGTTAAGTGAATCTGGCTTCCTCTTTGATTTTTTTCTTGTCAGAAGATCTCAAATTGAGATTACATGACCCCAGGACACTGACCATCANTAAGTCGAGGACTGCCTGTACAATAGCAGGTACTGAGGTAGAAATAAAAGAAAAATGTTATTTTTTTCAAACCGGCCAATTAACAGGCGGGTTGTGAGCATTGATTAGCGGAAGGCGGGACACCGCATCCCGCGTTTTTTAATAGACGTCAATTGGATGCTACGAGCGACGCAGCGCTGAGATTCGGCCAATGGGCTTGGAGAATTCGTTTACGTCAGTCGCCCAAATCTACGTCAACTCATCCCTTCTTTAATGTAGAGACCCCTTTGATATTATTGGTAGTTCGATAGCAGCCTATGACAATGAAGTTTAAAATGATTGAAGGGAGTTCTAGCCATAAACAGAGCTAGGCTTGGATATGGGTGGGACCTAAATGAACGGCCGACGAGGGCAAAAGACTGCAGCTAAGGGAAACAGTTGATATAATAGTCCCGTGGTGTAATCTCACCGCGAACAATAGCCACGCCATGCTGAGTGACAGCATATGTAGCCTATCCTGTTTTGGAGCCTCGCCTCTTTCCTTTGCCCTCCCCTCGGTCTTATCGAACCAGCTGGCTTCGTCTTCCCCCCCCACCTCCAGCCCATCCCCGCCGTACGCTGATTGGCTTGGCGCTTGATCGGTGTCCAATGAGCGCGGTCGGGGGTAAGAAGACTTACCTCAGAGAGCGGACGAGCCGTGAAAAAAGAGTGGGCGGAGCTTTCCCAGACCCGGCTGCGCGGCGCAGAGGGCAGCTGTGGCGCCATTTTGTGAGGCGTTTGGAGCACGGATGAGGCGAGCGTAGCTGTGAAAAAGAGGGCGAAGCGGTGTACGGTTACAAAAATTAGGCATTTAGATAAGCAAAGCGGCGGCGTGCTGGATCTGGGGCCTCCCGGTGAGTTCGTTGCCTGAAGAAAAAACGCCTGAGGGAATAAGTGTGGCGACGGTTCTTTCCCCCCCCCCTCCCGCTTGAGAGTTTGAGTGTGTGGGTGTTTGTGGAGGGGGAAGGGGAGTTCGGATAATGGTATTGCCCACACGCCCCTCAGTTTTGGTCTCCGCGGCGGTCTTTTTTGGACTCGCACCTCCTTTCCTCCCCTCCCCCCCCTATTCAATGTATTGGTGTCATCCAAGCCGAGGGTTTATTTGGGAGAGACCATTATGTTGGGCACAAAGGAGGGGGGGGAGAAGGAAGACTGCTTTCATGATTCTTCCGTTCTGCGAAAGAGAGGAAAATGTGTTTGTGTGTGTGTGTGTGTGTGTGTGTTTGTGGTACGTTATGCGTGGATGGGGTTGTAAGAAATACTCAACGTACGGGGAAGCGATAATGGTGCGCGCCTCGCCGCCTGAATATATAAGAAGCGTGTGGAGGGTGCGCGCGCAGGTCCCATTCGCAGGTATGGCTGCCGGTTTAAGACACATGCTTGGATGGGGCCTGACCTTTATTGGCCGTTCAGGGTCGGATCTAATTCGCCTAATCTGGATTTGACAGGCCAGGAAGACAAGATGCCAAAGGCCTCTCAGCAAGGTGGCACGCAGCCAACCTGATCCAGGGAAGCTAAGCACAAATCCAGGGGGGTGCTTGGATGGGGAGACCACCAGGAGATCCCAGGGCTGTTAAACCGACCTTTTAAAAAAAACCTTAGGAAAGTAATAGTCTCCTATTTGTTTTTAAAAAATACCTAGATATTTCTTTGTTAAGGAGCAATATGAAGATTTTACCACTCTTCATAGGCCAGCAAGGCTGAATTGAAGGTGGTAAAATGCCTAAAAGGTGGCTCAGTGGTTAAGACACTGAGCTTGTGGATTAGAAAGTTTGGCAGTTTGAATCCTTAGTATAGATCTCTATGAGCAGTGGGTTCGACTAGATGACCTCCAAGGTCCCTTCCAACTCTGTTACTGTTTACTGCATCAGAATTTGCACACTATATTGCACACTATATTGCACACTTACCACAATCAGATTATAATTTACAGCAGATTTTTTTAAAAAATGCAGGCACTCTTCATAGGTTAAATCTCAGATGGTAAAATGCCTAAAAGCATCAGAACTGGCACACTACATTGCACACTTAACACAATCAGATTGTGATTTTTTTTGCAGTTTTTTTTTTTTAAAATATGCATATTTTTCATAGGCTACCGAGGCTAATTCGATGGTAAAACGCCTAAAGGAGCAGAATTGGCACACTAATATAGGTTGGGACCCCTATCTGACCTACATTTATGTTGGAGCAATAAAAATAGGTGCTATTTCATGAATTACTACAATAGATATTTTAAGGATTTGGCACTGGGGGTGCATGTTTGTTTTGAAACAAGTATATAGCATTTTTAGGAATAGAAGTGTATTAAGTGTAAACAAAGGCAGTTGGATTCAGTATGTATTTGCTCCCACAAAAGATTGACACAAAAATACTTATTTGTATTTTTAAAAAAAGTGAGATAGTTTTATTTGTGCTGATTTCTGTAAGTGACACAAACTCCCAAAGGATCTGCTTTATATTTCTAGCTTAAAGGCAAGTTTCTGAATGAGCTCACTTTGATAGAAAGTAACTGTGCTGTATTTGCCAACAAAAATGATGCAACTCCTAATGCATTTCTTTGTTGAACTTGTGCTTAATTTTTTAAACTTGCGCAAGCCAGTTCGCACCAGGCCTCAGATTTTGGAGGAAGTCTGTAATTTTTTGAAAAGCAGTTGGCAGGGTGGGATATTTTGTATCTTGTTCTGTCTCTTGCGTGACTTGCAGTCCCTGGTATGAAAAATGAAAGTTTGAAAAGCAGCTTGTATTGTAGGACTGATAGATTAGTCTCACATTGAAAGCCACAATGCCTTTTTTTTGGCAAGAAAGCCATGCCAATCTTGACACTTGTCAAACAGTGTGGTTGTAGATTGGCCTGATGCAAGAATTCTGCATGTGTTAACAGAGCCCCAGGTTACCTTGCTACCAATCCAGTTATTGAAGTTGTAACGTCGGAGGTGGAACTGCAATGCAAATAACCTAAGAACACTCCGCATACACAGGACAGATAATCCTTGGCTGAAAGCCATTTGAGGTTGCAAGAGCACTGAAAATGTCTTAACGATCATTTTTCACACAACCCTTGCAGCATTTTCAATGGTCACAAATTTGGACACTTGACAACTAGCATGTATTTATGATGCATGCAGTGTCCAATCGTGTAATCGATCCCCTTTTGTGAACTTCTGACAGTAAAGTCAACCCACTTAAACTGGGTTAAAGTTAACTTGACAGCTGCACTGATTCACTTAACAACTGCAAGAAAAACCGTAAAATGGGCTAAAATTCACTTAGTGGGCTCATCTGTAGTCATAAATTTGAGTACCACTTATAGTTCATAATTCGTTCCTGTATCTCATCATAGCACCTCCTCAGCATGTAATCCTCAGCATGAAAAAAGACAGATTTACCATTCATAAGTTATACATTACACACACAGGGCAATGATGAAGTTTTCCAATATTCTTATTGTACTGCAGTGGATGGGTTTGCTCTAGGCCAGGATTTAAATCCACAACTAGGCAATCCTAAGTGAAATATCTGGTCTTTGACCATCCACCAATAAGGGGACAACAACAGTTAAGCCCAAAATTGAATGTTACTGAGACATTTGT